TGAGGTTGGTATCGGAGTCGACACGTGTCGGTTCTGATGATAGAAAGTCGAACTGGCGAGAGGTAGGAGACACCCTCAACTAGCTCGTCGAGATCGCCCCGTAACTAGGTCTCAGTCTAGTGTGGCTGCGCCAGCAATACCAATGGTGGACGGTACTAGGGTGATCGTTAGCATCCCCGCCCCCTTCCCCTTCTTCCCCAACCATACCCATCCCGAGGCTTGGTTGGAAGCTGTCGAAGGTCAAAATTACCTCGCAGTCGATTTTCCCTGTGTTCTAACGTTACTACTCCGCAATACATCACACGACTGGTGTAGAAAGCATACATGGGTAGATTGGGAGACGTTTAAGCGTGCATTCTTGGCTCGATTTGACACGGTTAGTGAAGATGCCGCCTGGTAAGTACTCAAAAATTGACCCCAAGGACCAGGGGAACTGTTACCCGATTTCGTTGATCGGTTTCAAACCACATTGGGTAAATCCGGGCGAGACGAGAAATCCGCTCGAGATTTGTTTATTGATCACCTTTGAAGTCCGACCTTGAAAGGGAAGCTGCAGAAAAAGGTTCCGCCGAAAACAACCCAGGTCAGTCCTTCTGTCCTCCTCGGGGAACCCATATTACAAGTTTCCGATCTGGCTGATGATTTGGAACCCCCTCGCACCTTGTATGAGGGAACTCTTTCCTTACGAACGCGTTATCAGCAAACGGAACAGTATTTGGACGTTTCTGTTTTCCCACCCCGGTCATTACTAACGACAGGAGCCACTATCGCCTTGATTAAACAAGAAGCGGAAGCACCGGTAAGTGATGTGTCGAATCTAATGCAAGAAATGACGGATCAAACAGGACTAACTGTGGAACCGACTTCGGTTGGTTCAGAAACTGACGTTGAAACTAAAAAAACAGTGATGATCAGCCCCGCTGAGTCCCAGATGATAGCAACTATCTTTTCTGTTCGCACCAGTGGTTCCATTTTCTCTAGTGTCCATGAGCGGCAGGAACGGTCGGATGATGGGATCGATATGCCCCTTAATATGTCCGGGGAATCGACGATCCCCCTCCCGAGTCACGTTCCCGCGGAATTTCGGAAGTCGCTAATCTGTGTATTGAATGGTTACGCAGAAGTGYTGAGCGTGCATGACAATGATATTGGGTTAACTAATGTAATTGAACATGCTATTCGCACGGGAGATCATCCGCCCATTAGTTGCACTCCCTACCGATACTCGCTAGCTCAACGAGCAGCCGCTTTTCAACGGATTAAGGAGTTCAAAGCTAATGGATGGATCGAACCCACTATACGACCATGGTCTTTCCCTGTAGTGATCGTACCTAAGAAGGCAGGGGGGATTCGCATTTGCATTGATTATCGAAAACTGAATGATATCACGATTAAAGATGTGTATCCCCTCCCCCGGATTGATGAGTTATTGGATGCGATTGGGAGTGCTCGATTTTTCAACAAATTTGATGTTCGTCATGGGTTCCATCATCTTCTTGTCCGAGAGGAAGATCGACCGAAAACAGTGTTTGTGCTTTTCGAAGGCACGTGGCAATGGATTCGATGTCCGATGGGTATCTGCAATGCTCCTGCAACTTTTCAGCGGGACATGAATATGGTCTTTTAGGATTTCGTACGGAAGACTCGTTCGACACAGCGTGGAGTATACATGGATGACATCCTAGTATATTCGAGTTCCTATGAGGGACACTGCAGCACATCGAATGGGCAATGCATGCGTTACGAGATGCAGGTTTCAAGGTGGCGCTTGAGAAGTGTCAATTTTTCCTCACCACCATTTCTTTTCTGGGGCACGTGGTGACAGACAAGGGACTCCAACCGGAGCCGCAGAAGGTGGCAGCTATCAGGGACGCGCCAGTGCCTACCACTATCACGCAAGTTCGCGCCTTTCTGGGCCTAGCCTTGTACTATCGAAGATTCATCAAGGGCTTCGCGGCGATTGCGGGACCCCTCACAAACCTCCTGCGCAAGGATCAGCCGTTGATCTGGACGCCGGAGTGCGATCAAGCGTTTTTCAAACTCAAGGCTGCTCTCATTTCGGCCCCGATCCTTATAAGACCGGATCCCGAAAAGCCTTTTGTTCTCATCACTGACTGGCAGCCAGAGGCGATTTCGGCGATCCTTGCCCAGGTGGGACCAAGCGGACTCGAGAGTGTGGTGGAGTATGCGTCCAAATCTGTACCTGCCTGCAAACGCAACTACGCCGCACCGACGGGAGAATGCTATGCGGCTCTCTAGGGAATCAGTCACTTTCGTGCTTACCTGTATGGGCGAAAGTTCACCCTGGTGACTGATCATGAGCCCCTGTTGGCTCTGAAGAAGTCGAAGGATTACTCGGGCATGATCGGGCGATGGGCAACAGTGCTGCAGAGCATGGACTTTGACATCCGTCATCGGAAGCACGAGAGACACGGGAACGCGGATGGATTGACACGGTTACACAGGCTTGAGAAAGTTCTGAAAAGTGAGAAGGTGATTCCGTGGAACGAACCCGAGCAGAAGATTGGACCTCGGTACGGCCAAGTGGAGATTTTGTTGAAGCAATAAGTGACACGAGGACTAATTTGCCTGCCCTACTCTCTCCACAATTCAGTTTCGTCTCTTCCCCTCTGTCATCATGACTACCCCGCCGGCCTTCACAACCCCTTCTTCTCCTACTAATTATGCCCCTCTTACTTCCTCAGCTTTCTTTGCCACCCTCCCCGATAAATTCTGTTATTTTTGCATGCGCATTGCACGAGTTTACGGGGTCGACTGTCATCCCTTTGAAACTCGGTTTGTCGATTGGGTAGAATGTGCCACGTGTGTCAATCGTGCACACGGGGCCTGTGTACGATATCGAACAAATAGCAAGGAATGGAAGTGCCCCCTATGTAGAACGAACAAGCTCCCCACGGAGGTTCGATTCGAGGCCGCCCGTACGGACGGCCCTGAATACGACGAAAAATACCGACGAGTGGAGGTTTGGACAGATAAAATTTTATTGGCGAAATTAGCAGGGCTATCATTGGGTAACCGCACCAAACACAACAGACGTAGGGCAACCGAGAGATCTCGGGACTATCGATGGATCAACGGTCATTTGGAAAAGCGTAAAACTGACGGATCGGGTTCGTGGTTAACGGTTCCTCATCCATTCCAGAGATATGATTGGATCCGATCTGTTCACGAGGAACAGGCCGCTCATTTCACGATACGTGTCACTGAGGCAACTGTAGACCAGAACCGATGGTCCAATAAACGAGATGATGTCAAATACATTGTCGCTAACTGTCTGGTCTGTGCCGCTAATCGCGCCCCCATACAAGGACCAAACACGATCGTACCAACGAAAGCAGAGTGTCCTTTCCAGCGAGTCAGTATGGACACGACCGATATTGACGTACCACCTGGCCCAAGCCGCTGCGGATATTCTATTTTATTAGTATTAATTGACCACTTTTCCAAATACATCGAAGTCTATCCCTGTAAGACCCGAAAAGCCGCAGAAATAGCCACGTACATCGAACGGTTCCTCTATACCCATCTAGATACGGAAGAAATTCTAACCGATAATGGATCTGAATTTAAAGGTGAGGTAGAAGAATTACTAGCGCAAAGGGGCGTCACGCTCCGACATACGGCACCCCACGTGTCCCAGTCGAACGGGTTGGCCGAGAATGCCAACCGTATGATTAAAAACGCCCTTCGCAGGAACTTAGCGGCACACGACACGCGTTCTTGGCCCGAAATCGTATATCAGATCGTCGGGATCCACCGGGCCACCCCTCATGAGTCTACGGGGTTCACCCCCTTTCAGCTTCGAACTAATAGCCTCCCCTGTGTCGATTACCGGGGTAACTCGGAAATTGACGAAGCAGGGGGAAGAGACACGCGTGCGTCCCTCAAAGCCAAGGCCAAGAGGTACGCCGACTTAATGGAACGGGCCGTTCCGAAGCTAGCCCGGAAAAGGTAAAGGATGACCGAACTGGCCCACGGTAGACAGGTCCGCAACTATGAGGCTCAGAACGGGAATGCTGGGCCCCAGTACCAATATAAATTGGGGGACCTAGTGCAGGTACGTAAAGGTGCACGCGACTGGAAACTCGCTCCCAAGTTTTCTGGTTGTTTTCGCGTTGTCGAACTCGGACCCAACGGCGCCAACACGATGCGTATCGCACCAGAGGCTAGCGCAAGCCATAGCTCCGTCCCCATCGTTCGACATACCTCCTACCTCCGTTTCCTTCCTCCTTCCGATCTTCCTGCCCCCTCTTTTTTGGAAAGCGAAGAAAACGACGACGATCTAACCCTCTCTCCTCTTTCTCCCTCTTGTCCCTCGTCCTCCTCTCCGACCTCGCCATGAGTTTTATCACGGAGCGGGTTCTTGACGCACAGTTGCGGCAGCCACGTGGCCACATCTCGGAGATCCGGCAAGTTTGTCATCCTCGGCTCAATACGGATCTTCGTCGTTTGATGCGATTCTTCTGCGACGAAGGCATCTGTGCCGCCGCAGTGTTTCGGATAGAAGGAAGCCCTCACGCGCTAGTGTTCGCGAAGGTTACTGCAGTTCATCGGCGAGCGGGTCCCAGAACGAGCCACGTCACCACAGCGGCGGGATTCACCGGTGACATCAGCTCGGTCAACCCGCAGAGGCATACTGCGATCTTGGCCTCGCTGCGCGAGTGGACGGAGCAAGTGTCCAACGTGTGGCAGCACGTCCTCGCTCGAGAAGGAATTAACATCATTCCGATCTCTGCATCGGACCTTGACGACATTCGCCGAGTACCACGCGAGCGGCCAGTTGTGATTCCAACCCTCGTCCCCTTCCCCCATCCTTAATGAACCACGCCAATCTTCTCGCTCCTCTCTCTATCTTTGGTCTTCCCTCTTTCTTCCCCACCTTCTGGCAATCCGATCTTCACCCTTCTCTCTCCTTCTCATTCGAACCTCTTTCGGTCTCCCTTATCCATCCCGGACATTGGCGACTGTGGCGTGAGACTTTTGAGGAGTTGTCCTTCTGCCTGACCCGAGTACAAGTGAAGTGGATGGGCACTATCGAGCACCCCACGTGGATCGAGAATCCGGAGCTGCTGATCGTACAGGGTTGGAGGACTAATGAGGAAGGAGATCTTATTGGGTTCCTCTTTGGATCGGTACAACCGGGTCGCCGTCAGTTGATTGCACAGGAGCTCATCGCACCGATCGTGCAATTGGCAGACGAGCTCTTGCCCGACATCTACTTTCAGAGTGACAAGAGTCCTGCTCCGTACATTTTCGAGCGATCTTTGGATCGGTACCTTCAGTGGACTTCGTGCTTGGAGGAACCTAGGGACGAGGATACGCTACCATCGCGGCAGGAGTATCTGAAGTCGCACGAGATCATCCCTTATGCCTTCTACCCGAGGGCAGAAGAAGTGGTGATCAACGACGACGAAGAAGAAAACGACGACAAGGAAATGTCGGAGGAGGGAAGCCATAGTGAACGTAGTGAGGGCAAGCTGAGTGAGGAGGAAGAGAAAGAAGAAGGAACCGGGTCCGAGAGGGAAGCCCCGCCGGAGGAAGCGACGCGTGCGGGAACGGAGGCGGAAGATCCGGAAGCGGCGCGAAAACGCGAAGAAATTGTCGTTGGGAAGCACCAGTTGGAGTTCGCCAGCGAGACTAACCTGCGCATCGGTAGCAATCTGACCAAGGATCCAGATCCGCCGAGGCCCGGAGATGGCGGCCTTACAGCCGCCACCCCAAGTACCACGCGACGGAGATGGCGCCGATCCCCCTCCTCCTCCAGCCCCACTCGTCCCCCAGTTTGCCCACGTACTGATGCGGACGATAGGCCTTCGTCCTCGGACGCTGTCCCGCCGACCTCTTGATTTCCTCACCCTCGAGCAGATCCGTACCCCCATCACCTTCCCTTCCCATCCTTTCCATCCCCATCTCTTCCGCGACTTCTACTCTACCCGTCTACTCGCCACCATCTACCCCCACGCCTCCCTTCAGTCCGCTGCTCCTACATTCTGCTGGCATCTCCTGCTGTTCAGCGTTGCATGGGAGCAAAGCAATGTCGTAGAAGTCTACTGCGTTGCCACGGGGACAATCCCCGCTTGCCGCCACTTCAAGATCTTTCGAGCGGCGCTTTTTCGCACCCTCTCCTCCTTCTATCGCGATTACCTCGCTTCCCTCCCCCGCAGTGGCGATCACTTCCCCCGCTTCCATCGAATCATCCGATATGAGGAGCTTCCGGTGACAATGGAAGGGATGAATCGCTTCCTACCCCCACTCCCTCCCCGTCATCCCCGCGAAATCCCCGGCATGTACCGCCTCTACTGGCCCATTCCAACTAGGCGGTGGTAGATCCCATTCACTTGACCCCTCCCCCTTTTTTCTCTCCTCCCTTCATCGACACGAATCAGTAAGCTTCGCAAAGATCACGCCATCGAGGATGACGTCAACCTACGCGCTGATTCGACGGACTGCAACGAGCAAGGGTGCAGAGCACACGAAGGTCGGATGGACCATGATGGCGTCACCTGGACGATCTCCACGAGGCAGAGGGTTGCATGTGACAGGGCCGCGGAGATCTTGCCACGGATGTTGTCGCCATCTCATCCGCGATCCAGTTATCGTTCTTTGTACTTCGTTTGTTCTGTTGACATGCTTGGTTCCTTATGCATCACTCCGTTCTGCCCTCTTTCTTTCGCCATGCCATGCAATCAGGAGATCGCATAATTTTGGAACCCCATGCGCGTCACATATGTGACGAACCACTCCCCGACCCGTGCTATCTTTCGTACCCTTTCTTTTGCTTGTATCATACCAACCCCAGGAAAGCCCTGTTTTGATTTCTTGCTTTCAGGTGACGGTTTCGGGTGTCGCGTTTTCCTTTTTGAAGAGCTTTTTCGACTACTGAGTTATGTTTTTCTTTTTGCAAAATCGGAAAATACATGGAAATTTGCGTGCGCTTTACCGAGCGCACTGGGAATTGGGCTCAGTGGTTGGGAATTCCGAGATAAGCGGAACTTCGACGTGTCCTTTTGGGGTGCATGAATGTTCTTGGGCGCGTCGGGGAAAACTCTCGGAATTTTGTGTAAATACGAATAGACGTAGGATTTTCTGTTCCCGCGTTGTTTTTTCGCGCGCGAATATGATGATTTCAATTTTTGAATTAGGATAGAAGCAAGCTGTAACTATTTCAGTGCCCTTTTTTTTTTTTTTTTTGACGGCACCATGCATGCAAAAACTTCTTCCTCTCTGTCCCCCGCATCGCTCCCTCGCGCGCCTCCCTTCCCTTCTCCCTCCTTTTTCTCTCTCCACGTAACTGTTTTTCCTTCTCCCTCTCTCTCTCCCGCCTTATTTTCGCGCGCCCATTTCCCTTTCTTGATCATCTGAATCTTGGACCCGTCTTGCGCCACGTTTCGCGCCTTTTCTCTTCACACCCTCTAAGTCTGGCGTACGACGCCCGGTCAATCCCCCGATAACTCCCGCTCGCCAATCAGGTGCGTAGATCGATAAGACCTTCCTATCGCGCGACGAATCTGATTGATTGAACCTTAAGTTCCGAAGGATCAGCATGACGTTCGTAGAGCACTCTTCTCAAAGTCTTCTCCTCCTGCTTCTCCTCTTACACCTCAGCTTTCCGGTCGCCTTCTCCCCCTTCTATCTCCCCTGTCGCAACTATAAAACCCGCAAGCACGTCTGCGAAGCTCTCTCACGTTCTCGACTCCTAAGCCATCCGGGCGCATCGTGTCGAGTTTACGACAGCGAGGTGACGATCGCAGTGGTGGGAATTAGCACGCGACGGGCGGAATCGTCGGTGCGGGTATGAGGATCGATGATTGGAGTTAAGTGAATGATTGGCCCGGGGCCATATTGGAATTAACGGCGAATGCGCCTTTGTTGTTGCGGATCTTTATCTTTGGCGTGAGTGCA